GGGGAGAGGCAGCAAATGTTTGCAGTTGGCCCAGGTTCTGGGTAGCTGCTGATAGCCACAGAGCCCGGGCTGGGGGGCAGGGCTTTGGGTGGAGGGCAAGAGCAGCAGGGGTGGGGGCAAGGGTTATGAGCAGGGCTGGGGGGCAGGGGCTTTGGGTGGGGGGCAAGGGGCACAAGCAGGGCATCCTGCCATGTACCTCCTGCCCTCATTTTGTTTTTCTGGCATGCCGGCACTCCAGCACCTTGCAAGGTAGGCATTGTGGGGGTTTTCAGCACTCCGGCCAAAAAATGTTACCTGCCCCTGGTCTAGTCCCTGGGGAACTACAGCAGGCTTGACAACAATGGTTTCCATCTCTTCTGTTGACACACCCATGCTTGAGATGGACTGGCAGCTGGCCTCTCTTGTCAGGGGGGAGCATATATGGCTCCATCTCTCCTGTTTGTTTTCTCTTTTCTGTGTGAGCATATATGACGCCATCTCTCCTGTTTGTTTTCTCTTTTCTGTCCTCTTGTCCTCCTTGCCTTTTGCTATCTTTTCCTTCCTATTTTCAGTTCTCATTTGGCCCCATTCTTTAGTTTACATTCCCCAGCCATGTTGCCTCGGAAAAGAGAAAGAGTGGATCTTGTTGCCATTGGAGGCTGAGCTACCTCTTGCAAGAGAAGGAAAGTTCGACATTAGTAAAGGAGGACAGAGGTTTCTACGTGTGCCTGCAATGTCACCTAGCTGAGAGCTGCTCCTGTGGTCAGCTACAGACAGGGCTTTCAGACAGCCAGCAGGACTCCATTAAAAAATTTCCACCTAACACCATATTAGCTACCATATCTCTGTACATGTCTCTGTACACCAACATCCTCCATGAGGAAGGATTACAAGCCATAAGGAACATTATCCTCAATGAGGACACTGCTTCTTTTTCCATTACACTCTTCTGCTTTGTCTTCACAACTATTTTTTTAAACCTACAAACAATTGGCACTGCCATAGGCACCTAATATGGCAACCTATTTATAACAGATCATGAAGTCCATTTCTTTCATGGCTGTCCTTTCTTACCCCCAATCTACCTAAGGTATATCAATGACATCTTTATTGTATGGACACATGGGAAGGAATCTCGAGAGAAATTTTACTAGGTCTTTAACAACTTTTGCTCCTCCATCAAACTAACTCTGGAACCCTCTGCCTAGCAAATTCATATTCTAGACACTACAGTGAGGTTTGCAATGGCCACATTGCCACCACATTGTACTGAAAACCAACCAACTACCTTCAGGTCACCAGCATTCATCCTAAGCACACTTCTTGTCTACAGCCAGGCTCTATGTTACAATTGTATCTGCTCTGATCCCACTCACTGGGATGAACACCTGAAGTACCTGGAGCAGGGATTTCTAGAATTACAGTACAATCCGAAAACTATAGCTACTCAAATCAACAAAGCCAGACTTGCACCTTGTGCTGACCTGCTGCAATACCAACCCTGGGATAAGAACAACCGACTCCATCTGGTTGTTACCTGCAGCCCCCAGCTTGAACACCTTAGACACATAATTAATGACTTCTCAGCCCTCCTGGAAAAGGACATCTCAAGGTAGTCATGGAGGACAAACTTGTCCTAGCTTACATGCAGCCCTCAACCTCAAACAGCATCTCTCAACAGGCTACTTAACTCCCATTCTCAGTAAGGCACCAGGCCTTGCAATGGACCCCGATGCCAGCTGTGTCCCATCATCAATACAGACTACATCAGCACTGGATTAAATAACATGGATTATAATATCCAAGGTTCATTTACCTGAAAATCTACCAATATCATGTATGCCATCACCAGGTTCAAGTCATGCTGCCCCCCCCCGCCGCTGCCTATATTGGACAGATGGGGCAAGTTCTCTGAAAGAATGAATAGACACCAGTCTGATATCAACTCCAGAAAGGCACAAAGGCCTCCTTGGACACTCCATTGCTGACCTGAGGTCAGCTGTTCTTAGCCAGCAAACTGTTTTGAAAACTGATTTGAATGGGAAATTGCAGAACAAGAAATCATCCACGGCCTGGATTGTGTTAAGTATGGTGTAAACAAGGACTATGGATTCTTATCCCATTACTTGGGTTATCTTTTATATCTCCTTTGCTCCTGTGGGTACATTGTTTGCCTCTCTCGGCACCGCCTCTTCCCCTCCCCCGTTTTTTTACTGTTGTATTCATAGAATCATAGAAAAACAGGGCTAGGAGGCACATCTAGATGTTATCTAGTCCAACCCACTCACCTAGGCAGCATCATCCCTACCCAAAACTATCCCAAGTATGGAACACATGTTTGTGCCATGAACTAAATCACTTTCTCTGTTTTGTACACAGGTCTGTGCCTGTTCTTTCACAGCATCTGGTGAAGTCAGCTGCAGCTCACAAAGTTTGTGTTTTCTCTCTGTCTCTGTAATTTAGTCTGTAAGGTACAAATCTGCCCTGCCTTCAGCAAGAAAAGAAGGCAATTATGTCAAGGAGCTAAGACTTTATTTAGATGGAAGAATTTACCTTGCGCCCAGCAACCGATGGCCAACCATTGGCACAGCAAACCTGAAGTATAGGAAAGGAAAACTCCAGTTTACATTGGTGGAGTTTACTCTGGCTTGTAGGGGTGGGGCCTTCTTGATAAAACCACTGATTGCTGGAACTGGAGTTAAGTTCCTATGCTAGGCAAGGCCTCAATAATTATCTGAGACCTAGTAGCATTGCTTATGCCTCCCAAGTATTTGTTAATTAAAAGAGAAACAACAGCAAGTTCCTTCCCAACCTGGTTTATAGATTGTGCCTACATATGTGACACACGTATGGGTGGAAAGTTACATGGAAACAATGAATTCTGCAGTAGTTCTAGGAATGGTGAGAGAATGGAGATTGTGTTTCTCCTCTTTTCAGGCCAGTCCTATAGTCCCAGTTAAAATTCCCTGAGAATGACATGATAACTTTATTAAATCAACTAAGAAATCACAAAAAAAAAAAATATTTTCCTGCAAAAAAAACCTTTTACTTTTTTTCCAATTTCTTAGTTGATCTAATACAGTGGTTCCCAACCTTCTTTTCCCCAGCCCTGCTGCTGAGAGTGTAGTGGTGGCGGCAGGGGTAGGGGAGCGAGGTGCAGCTCATCTTTTCTGTGCGGTGCCGCTGGCATTGTCCCCCGCGACCCTCATTTGGGTTGTGACCCGGGGGTGGGAACCGCTGATCTAATAAAAGGCATCACCTCTGAACAAGAGTTCTAGAGTTTTGCATTTCTTTTTGTCTCGGCGCAACACGGCTACCAAATACATCAGAGAATGACTTGGCTTTTGCATATGCTGCATCAATGAACTGCCTCAAAAATGACCCAACAATTTGAGCACTTTTTTTTACTATTATTGACCGTACAAGGGGTGAAATGATCGTGAAAATACGGTAATTACCGTACACGGGGCAACACTGCCGCTTCCCCGGCTCCCCGCCCGGTGCCGAACCACCTGCTCCGCTAGCCCCGCCCCTTCCCGCGGCCCTGCCCCTGCATTCCGAGACTAACCTCCGCGGCCAATCACGCGCCGCGCTAGGCCCGGCTCCGAACGTTGACATGTCCCGGCGTTCCACGTGATGCGCTTTCGCTCCTGCTCCAGGAAGAAGCCGCCTCCCTCCCGCGCGTCCGCTGCGATGGGCCCGCTCGGCGCCCTGCTGTGCCTGCTGCT